CATACACACACTCACACTTATTCAATGAGCTGATTATTGCAATTACGTTTTCCTATAAACATGAAAACTTTAACAAACAATGTTATTTCCAGTTTATGTTTCTCTCTATTTTAAATGAGAAATTTATTGATGTGAACAATGCAATTCCAAAAACCACCATAAAGACTATTGCTGTCATATTATATTTATAATTCAGAGACACAATTTGATGGTGACCCGGCGACTGGTGAATTTTAAAGAGTGTTTACTGTATGGGGGTTAAGAGTTGTACTTTAGAGCTTGAACAGAACTATACAGACGTTGTTTTAACTAAACAAAACTAATAAAACCTCCGCCATGTGCACGCTCTCTCTCTCTCTCTCTCTATCTCTCTATCTCTCTCTCTCTCTATCTCTATCTCTCTCTCTCTCTCTCTCTCTCTCTCTCTTTCTCTTCGTGTCTTCTCTGCCGTGCCACATACCTCTTTTTGGGCTCTTTAGTTGTATCATTCAGAAAATCCAGCAGTGAACAGATATGAGCTTAACCTCACAATTTTGCAGACGTTAACAGACGTGAAATAAGGACGACAATAGATATACTGGTAAAGCTGGAGGTGTAGAAAAAGAAAAGCTTATAAACTTGTAAACTTGTGAGCTGGCGGATTAAAAAAAACAACAACACTGCTTAAGAAGAATTAACGCCGGATGCAGTTACAAAAAAATTTTCATCAGCACAACAGGGGGAATTCTGAAGGGAGATTGCAGCAGACAGACAAGCCAGACAACGCAATTTTGAATAAAGATAACGAACGAATAATCACATTTTGATAATATAATGTGTCCCTATGGTTTTGTTGAGGGTTTTTTTTTCAATATAGTATTAATTCATTCCCCTGTCAGACATCTGAATAATACAATGGATTAAACATTTTAAAAAGAATATCAATATGGCTGTTGAATTAATTTTTGTAAAAAGATAAATTATATTTGCTGGCTTTGAAGTTGCGAATGATAAAGGCTAAAATGTCATTTGCTTTTCTCCTAAAACACAATACGTGTATATGTTATTGTTGTTGGTGTTATTTTATTGCTGCTGTGGTAGTTGTTGTTGTTACCTTTAGCGTTTTACGAACAACAACATTATTGCGCCATCTGAAATCTAGACCTTCTGAGCTACAGATCGTTTCCTCCTCTTTACCAAGCATCTCTAGCTTCAATAACGGAACAATCTTCTATTAGATGTTCAATTTAAACGGTCCCGTCACAATTTGTTAAAACCATTTGTACACGAAAGTAGTGAAGGAAACCTGGTGTGAAGAACGTCAGTAGAAATTGGTAGTTGGGTGTTGGAGAGACATAACTGTGAATATAAGACCTGGTGTGAAACTTACACAGGGACAAGAGCTTTGAGAAAACGTGATACTCATATTTTTAAAAAAATCTATCCTATGCTTAGAACGTCACCTTGGCACCCATGTGGATTTTTACATAAAATGTGCCAAAAATTAGTTTAAAAATTGACAAGTTCTTGTGTTTTGACAACTCTGAACATTCTCTTTTTTTATTGAAATGATAGGAGTTCAGGGTTTTTATTTACTTTTCAGATCGAGACATGGCACCCCGAGGATCTGAGGGAGAGTTCATTCAAAACTTTTGAGCCAGAAATTCTGATTGAAAACACTACCCAAAGAGTCGCAACCCTCATAGTAAGTACTGTTGTAAACACAGAAGCGCCTGTTACAGATTATGTTGCGCTCACTTCTGGCCAGGAGTGTGATGAGTGATGAGTAAGCGATAAAACATAAAAAGAAGATGAAAGTTTGTTATTCATTCAGTACTTGAAGAAGATATGTTTCCTTCATCACAAAAGAATTAATGGGGCCTTTATATTAACCATATATTTTTTTTCATAGCCGTACTGTCATCTCAATCAGCGAGATAGTACGTTTGCCTACCTGACGCAAATGCAGTTTATTAATGTGAAAATGTCCATTATATATTGCACGTATATTTTTTAAATAGATGTATGAGGAGTATTCTAGAAATTAAGTGGCTGGATAGAATAAGAAATGAAGAGCTGTGGGAAAGGACAGGACAAAAGGATATAGAAGTAGAAATAGGACAAAGAAAGTGGCA